GGGATGAAGACAATTGTCGCTCGTTTTGCAGCTGCTCTTCGACTGTTTGGCACACATTTGGATGAGTTGTGTAAGAGTTCCGCCGAAACACAACTCCAACACTAAATACACATTAGTTTTGTCTTCGATTACATTAAATAATTGCAAAATATTGTCGTTTTTGAGCCGCAAATGAATGGACACTTCGGTCAAGATTTTGCCCAAATTTGGTGAACACTTCTTCTCAATCGATTTGATGGCACAGTATTTGCATTCCTCGGCAGCGCTTCCATTCGCAGGTGATTTATGGATGGCTTTGAACACTTGGCCGAAGGAGCCCTTCCCGATGGCCGACACCATCGAGTAGTCGCCGATTCGATGCGACCATTGGTTGGCATTTCTTTCGGTCAAACATTTGCCCAAATTATTGGTGAAAGACATCTTCGGGCAGACAATCAGTGGTTCACTTCAATCAATGCAAACATCGCTTCAAAAATCACTATTTGTTGTTTTTTTTCATAAATTTGAGCCAAAATTTCAAAACATGTCATCACATGAACGGACTGTTCGTATATTACGTGACACAAATGTTAGCACAATTATTTTCAAACCCTTCGCTACTATTAACATAGAGTTTGGCCACAAATTAAGCGTAACGTTATGTATATCTAATTAATTGGATTAACTAATTATCTGACATCCCATGCGTTAAGTCATTCATAGGATTAAATTGTAATCCGGGATTAATTTGTTGCACAAGACTTACAAATAATTGCAATTAATAATTGAGTTTTAATTAAAACAATAATATAAAGCCTTTCATATCCACTCCCCCCTCACTCACCTGCGTACGCGACACTCACCATATCTGAAGCATCATAACTTACCTGACTTACTGTCCGTTTGTCAATAAGTGTTATAAAATTAACAAAACGATAAATAATAAATGTTTTATTTATTACAATAATAACAATAATATAGCGATTGTTTTGACCACTTTTTGGCGTTTAATCCACGCTTTGGTGAACACATATTGCGATGACTTTAACCACAAGTATGTGAATACACGTCGAGAAGAGTCACACGTATTGTTGTTATTGTTTTTTGGATGTGATATAAAAGTGATACACATTTACACCAAAACACAAATCATTGGTTTTGAAGAGAGCCGTGAGATCTGATGAGCGATACGATGGACACCAACACCAACACCGCGGCCTCCAAGTCGTTGTCCTCGTCGTCGCTGTCGTCGTTGGCCGAGCCGTCGACCGCCGCCGCAGTCGTGGCCAACAACGCGGAGACAGTGTATGAGTTGGGCCGACAGCTGGACTCACCCACGCATGTGGTGTCGGAAAGGGTGCAGACATTGGCCGCACAGATATACACAGAATTGCAGCGAATCATCAATCGGTGCAATGAGGACGAAGAGGTGGTGTCGGGTCTGATGCCACTCGTGGTGAATGTGTTGGAAACGCTGGATATGGCGCTCATTGAGAACCAACAGTTTCAGGTGGAACTGGAACTCTGTAAGGATGATAACGAACAGTTGGTCACCGCTTTCGAGAAGGAGAAGTTGTCGAAGAAGAAAGTGGAACAAAGACTCTTCGAGTTCGAGTTCACCACCGATGAGGAGAAGCAACACTACCAGCAAAAGATCGACTCATTGGCTAATATCGTCAAAATGCTTGAACTCAAGGCCAAGAACTCGGCCGACCATTGTTTGTCTTATTTTACGAGTTCGAGTTCACCACCGATGAGGAGAAGCAACACTACCAGCAAAAGATCGACTCATTGGCTAATATCGTCAAAATGCTTGAACTCAAGGCCAAGAACTCGGCCGACCATTGTTTGTCTTATTTTTGCTTTTTATTGATGTCTTTTTTAATGGATTAATGATTTGTTTGTTTGTCTCTTAAAACAGCGTTTCGTTTGGAAGAGAAGGAAACAGAGATGAAGAAGGAGTACAACAAACTCCACGATCGATACAACGAAGTGCTCCGAAGTCACTGCGAACTCATGGAAAGGGTTAAGATATTGATCGGAACCGATGAGGGCATGTCATCTCTACCACCAAATAGTTTACCAAATTTTAGTTTAAAATCGCAATTAAATAAACGAAACGATTTGGAGGGCAGCGGAGAAGAGAGCAATTATAGCGAACATATGAGACGCGACTCCAGTAGTCCCACTCCACGGCAGGCCTGGGCTGACACAGAGATGTCACTCGACGACAATCCGCCGTCGATTATAGAAGACATGGACGATATGCGCGATCGGGACAAAGACCGCGACTATCAGAGTTTGACTGGTATTTTGTCTTTGATTTTCTCTTTGAATCTCTTTCTGTTTCTGTGTTTTACTCTTCAATACTTTAAATCCATTAAAAATGCTTCAATAAAAAGGACAATACGTTCACCCGAGTGAATACGCGTCCACCGGTATGACTGTCTTAGTCCTGACCCACACTTTCATTTCCGTTTAATTGCTTTTGAATGCATTTGTCATTGAAATGTGAATTAATGTTAATTTTGTTTTATTTCTATGTTTACGCCAATCAGTAACCGATAATTTCTTTGGTAAGTCTTAATCTGCAAACGATTTGTGTAATTAGTATTTTATTAACTGTTTTATTGGTTTCACAGGAATGGAGAAAGAGATCGAGAATTTGATTACAGAAAACAATGAATTATTGGCGACAAAGAATGCCTTAAATATAGTTAAAGACGATTTGATCGCAAAAGTGGATGAATTGCAGAGCGAACTGCAGATGTGTATGAATGAAATACAACAAAGAGATGCCGTCAAAGAGAGACTCAAAGGTCGCATCCAAGCCATCGAAGAAGAGCTCAAGAAATGCAAAGAAGACTTCGAGGAAGCGAAACAGAAACTGTTGGCTCCCAAAGAGGTTTTTCATTATTTTTGGGTCATTTGTTGGCCGAAAATAATTAACATTATTGTCTATAAGGATGAGGAGGAAAACGTTCCGATGGCTCAGAGGAAACGGTTTACGAGAGTAGAAATGGCCAGAGTTTTGATGGAAAGGAATCAATACAAAGAAAGGTTAATTGAATTACAAGAAGCGGTTCGTTGGTCTGAATTGATTAAAGCGACCAAATCTGAAGGCGCGGAGAAGAAGTCCGCCATTTGGAAGTTGTGAGTGAATTGTAGTTTTTGTTTTTCTACTACTTTTACTAAAAACTAATACTTCTGTCACACAATTATTTGCTGACATTAAAAGTGGACGCAATTGGACGGGAGGGTAGAGTTCACTACTAATTCATTACTTAATTACTTATTGTTTTCAATTTTAATTTCGGNTACTTTTACTAAAAACTAATACTTCTGTCACACAATTATTTGCTGACATTAAAAGTGGACGCAATTGGACGGGAGGGTAGAGTTCACTACTAATTCATTACTTAATTACTTATTGTTTTCAATTTTAATTTCGGTTTTTAATTAATTTTTACGAATTGAGTATTAATTTGAAAATTTATTTGTCAATAGTTTTAGTAATCTCTTCAATGCGGCGCCGACTCCGCCGACCAAAGAGACGGCCCGGAGTTCTGGGAGCGGCGGTTCGCCAGCCGTACGTTTCAGTTCATCGAACCCGACATCAGTCACACCGGCGTTGGACGCCATGAGGAAGAGAGCGCGAGCCCACCAGACGGCCGGTGGCAGTGATCTCCTGCTTCTCATGGACTCAGACCTGAGTAGCGAAAGATCCCGAGCGCTGAGGAGTGTTAGGGCGCACGTGAATCGGACGGGTAATGGAGATCGGATACAGGCCTACGGTTGGAGTATTACAGGAATCGGCGGTTCAGGCAATCAGTCTGACGAACGGATGGCGTCCAACGCAATCAAAGGCACGTCAGTTCCCGTTCCCATATATTGTCGGCCATTGAGTGGAGATGACGTGGGAATGAAGATAT